AACAATGTGGTGCAAAACACAAAATTATACCTGGGTCTGAAACTAGCAAAAAAAAAACACTTACATTGCATCTGGCACCACATTGTATGTGTATAAGATCAAATTAGTAAGGACAAAAATAACAAAAACATCCTACAAACTAAATATAAATATGCAAAAACGTAAACTTACTATTAAGCTACCATTGCTAAACTATTATCATTATCACTGTTAAAGTAAACTTCAAAATTAATTAAACTTGAAAATTTGTGCAACATTTCGATCGGTGTATGTTGCATCATATTATAACAATTCACACATATTTCTATTAAGCTTATGAACCGATAATGACTGATTAGAAGCCTTTAGATTATACTCAATGACTTACTGTGTGCAAACACTCTGTTTCACTGAATTCATGAAATTCCTACATTTTTTTCATATTAAACAATACATGTTTTCAACTAAATCTGAAGAGCACCCATTGACTGAAATCTATGAGTGTTGGTTTAAGTTGAAGGTTAACAACTTTATTAATCCCACCAGGGGCAATTAGATTAGGGTAGAAGCATTTCATAATACAACAAACACATAAAGAGACAGATCACTTACAAACAGTATAAAAAACACAATCCAGCATGCTTCATAATAACTTCATAAATAGTACAAAAATTTTAATGTAAAACTTAAATGTAATGTTGTAAAGTCTTATTGCCTCAGGAACAAAGGTAAATTCCTATCTGTTAGAAGAGCATTTGATGCTTCCTAACCTTCTTCCAGAGGGCAACAGAACAAAACAAGGCTTCAGAGGATGGGAGTCATCTCCTATCACGGTTAATGTCATTTTTGTCATAAAGACCATATGCTGGCAATATGCAAATATATCACATTGATGTTACGATATGATCTATGTGCATAGACAATAAATTTGAAACTGGCATAATTAATTGCTCATTGGCAATTCAAAATCAATTATTTATTTTAGAAGCCAATAAATGTATTTGCCGTATACTTTGATCAATAAAACTTTGTAAACCTTTTTACATTTACAGACAGCTACATTACACACTACATAAAAGATAATATTCAAAAAAAGCATAATTGTGCACTTGTGAGAATTCCACCCATGTCTGTCGCTAACATTCAGACAAATTACAGTTGCTTTAAGGAGGTTCCAGGCTTGTTTAATCTACCACTGAGACACTTGTTTCGCCAGCCTCAGCAAATTATGTAGAGTAACTGTAATTGAAATCTTGCCTGTGTCGTGAAAATTGCTTGCACTCTCGGTTTTGCAATTGCACCGGTGCTGCAGCACTAATACTTGAACCGGCGATTAAACTGAAGGCTAAGAGAATTGTCAAGGTGTGCTAATTATTTTGCTGCCATTTGAATATCAAATGCCTAAAGGCCACTTGCTCCTGAAGCATGAAACTATTCAAGAGCAGATCTTAGATTCGAGGGCGGCTTGTGTACTTTAACATCTGCAGTGTTGTACGAAACTGAGGTATTGATGTATTTTGTTCTATCACCCTAATCGCTTTGAAGAGTGCTTCAGAGAAGAGCTTTCCAAGTGCTGTCTGAGTAGTTATTATGATACAAAAAGAGCCGACGAGAGGGGGCCGCTCGGTTAAATGTTAATTTGAAGCCAGCAGTCTAAATAAAAACCATCAAGTTAGCTACACAATTTGGAACAAAGGAACATATAAGAAAGTATCAATAATTGTTTGTTTACATGCGCTGATGCTAATGCTAGTTCAAGAAAAATATCAAGAAAACAGCTGCAGTCTGCTTTGTCAGCTTTTAATCTGATATGTATGTTTTGTAAGATTTGAATAAAGCAGAATTAGTAATGTTTAGAGGACTGTGCACAACATAAGCCAGCAGAAGTTAATGGGGTCTGTAATTGTAGCACCAATGTTGTGCAAAGAACTGAGTCATATCCTCATAGATCCAGGTCAGAGACTCATAAACAAGTTTAGTTTGATCAAAGCCATAAATCTAATGGGCCATATTTTAAAGAGAGTTTGCTACCAAATATTAGCTCTAAGAGCAAGGGATTTCTAAAAAATGCTTTTGGTTACTTAATTGAAGAACTGATTGACTTATGTGTTTACAATGATGGTCAAAGGTCAGCATTAGAATGACTATGTAGGCTAATAACTGACTTGACTGGCTTTTTGCATAACATTTGTGGATTCCTTAACATTCATAATTGCAATACTCAAAAGGGTATGGCTTAAAAATTTGTTTCTGCTTTAAAGCAAAGTGCAATACAGCTATAAATGTATTTGTTTCTTTTTTTTCATTTTCTGGAATGGGTTCTTTTTTTTCAGAGCCAGCGATCAATACTCACTGTTATATACTTTCAGTAGAGGACATTCACCCACACCTACAAAGGCATTCAGTGAGCCAATATATCACTACCAAAAACATATTTAAAACAACACAGATGACATTAAAAACTATAATGACACTTAAAAATCTTATTTACTTTTTTAAACTAATTTACTCTTTTATATATTTTACAGTTTTTTATATATATTTAACAGTTTATTTTAAATTGATAAAGAGCCCCTGGTATGCATTAAAAAATGTCATATTTTGGTTTTGGGGGTCTCCAACAAAAGGCTGATATGCACGCAAGGTCAAAAAGCACTTTCATTGTCTAATAATCTGCATTTATTTTTACCTAATTATCCCAACTACTCCCAAATGACCCAGTCTATTGTGATTGCTCGACTGCGTTCAGTGTGAGACAGAGAGAAATGCCCACCACAGCTTATCAACAATTTTGAAGTACTCAGAGTCCAAAGTGTATGTGTGAGCACAATGCAGGAATGCTTTAAAGCAATGCAGTTCAACACCAGCATATTGCTCTATTCATAACCATAACACACATTCAGTATTAATCCACACAGCAGTAAAAGCTGAACTATTTTGAAACCTGATTGCCGCATGTGTGTAGGAACAGCTGCCGGTGGTCATAGCAACAACAAACGGCAGTGGATTGCGAGCTTACAAATGCATTTCAATCAGTAAACAAAGCAGCACGCATTGCGTTTTAAACAGGGTTTTAGATGCAATATGAGAATATAAAGAGTTAACCAGATACAGTACAAGCTGCATGGAGTGCTTACAAGTAACAAAACACAATTTGCAAGCTTGAAAAAACAAAGGGGCAACCATTTTAATCACATTTAAATTACTTACACTTGTTAAATGGATGAAGGAACTGTTCCATAAAATGTGTACTGTAAAGTTTCTGTCAAGCTCTGATAAAGTCCCATACATCAATAGTCTTTTCTGATCCTTTCTTTAACAAACAGCTGACAAATTCTTCATTGTAAGCGTGTAGATTGAGGAAGCACTCGTCAGAAAAATTACAGGAACACAGCACAAGGCTGGGGCTATAATGCTGAGGTAATATTTAACCACTGACTCTTCACAGCCTTATCTTTGGGTAGGGAAAATAACATTAACTTTCCCTCACACTTAAGAGCACAGCGTCTATGTGACTTGATTCAACCGGGATCTGCTACAGTGTTTGTTTTCCTTTTTTTCTTTCTATAGTGTTTGTGGGTGGAGCCAGGGGTTTCAATTCTCTATCAATTCAATTCTGGGTCTGCGCGTGTAACAATTGGACGGGGCTTAAGTTCCATATCGACGTTACACCGACACGGCTAAATACTGGTTACCCCAGTTTTTATTCATTTGAACCACTCTGAGTTGACTCTTTTTTAGATGAATCAATAGTTTTAAACATGGCAAACTTTCAGATTTAAGCCTTAGCTGAATATTTCACTTTACTTTGAGCTGTGTTACACACTGCATGGGAGGTCATTTTCAAAAAGGAGCTCTTTAATGTGTAGATGTGAGAATAACATAAATCTGTCTGAATGACATTTCATCATATTTTGACTTTGATTTTATTTTTTCTCATAAGTTATTCCTGTAATTTCATTTCTATGTTCATTAAACTAAATGCATTATTAGTGAAAAGCGGGTTTTTAAAAGCACATTGTCCTAAAACTCTCTAACTGAGCCTGCACAATGGGCAAAAACAGTTTAAAAGGGATTGTCCTCGTTTAAAGCCAATGGAGGAAACTCTCTAGAGGATGCAGTAAAAATCCATGAACCAGTTGGCCAAATGTTTTCATGGATCGCAGAAGAGAGGTCAAAACCCTGGCTGTTCCAGTGAACTTACCCCGAGGGTGATATGAAAACACGTGCTGCACTCTTTCCAACCATATGCACACATACATCAATGCATTAAAGATCTCAAATCCTTAAAGCCTCTCCTCAAGCCATGAAAAGTCTGCTTATGCGCTTAACCGTGACATGCACAATCATGAACTGTTTTGAAATATTTCAAAACGTCCAGATGTACATTCAATAACACTTTCTGCGTGCCATTGTGCGGACTGCGAGAGCTGGTTGATATGTAAAGGAATGCATGCGCAGAGCATTGAAAGGAAAGCAGCCCTCGTCTTGAACAATACATCAAAGGGAGCTTTACATAATACCACAGTGAAATGTGTGGAAAATCTGCATTGGCAACATGTCAGCTCTATTCCCCCTGTGCTACTGGCATATTATTGTTATTTAATGACTAGGCTGCTAGAGCATGTTAATGTCCTCATTAGGAAAAGTGGGTTGAGTTCTTTACTGAAATTAGCATTCTGCCTTCAAGTGAAATGAGGAAAAGAAGAAGAAGAAGAAAAAAGTACACCGGCTGTATAATATAATCAAAACACATAGCCTTTCAACTCCATTTGTATCAGTCTCATTACAGATGTGACCTCTAGCTTTGCTAGTGAATCATAATCTCATTTCTGTATGACAACCAGCTAGCACGGATATAATAGTCCAAGGCGATGGCTGACAAATACAGTAGCTTTTAAAATGATGTATGATGTCATTACGGGAGGTGCACAGGCATACCAATGTTTTACAGTGACAGATCTGTGTTGCCTTTTATGTCAAGCTGCTGTGAAATGCTGTGTAATTTTGACAGAAATTACCTTTGCACACTGTTTATGGCTCTGACACCATCCAAGGGATCCATTACTCTGTGGACAGAAGAGACAGATGGAATTGCGTGTCAGAATGCTGTAATCACCAGTCACATCAGACAGGCTCATTTGAATCCTGCTATTTTAATGTGCCCCTGCTGAGCGGAGAGCCTTTAGAAAGGAAATTTCCTATTATGAACGCATTACTCTTATTTAAAAACACCGCCCTGACTACAGCACAGTAAAATTGCTCATAAGCCAAAACAGTCGGTCCACATCCCCTCCCTTATTAAGAAGACCAGCCAGAGCACCTGAGCACAGAAACACCAGTAATCACTCATCAGCACCTGGAATCACAGCACTTGTTTGCATAGCAGATCTCGGAATGTTCCCTAGCGTGTCAGGAGTTGTCAAAGGGTTTCGCTTATCTGAATAACGCTGGTTGTTTTAAGCTTAAATGCAGCGTGTTTGATTGGCAGACCACAGGATTACGCCCCTGGCCAGTCTTGTCAGCTTCAGAATAATCGGTGCTGAATAGCACAATAACAAAAAAGGATAAAACCTTTATGATGCACTGTGTATTTTATTGCACATGGTGGGGACTCTGAAGTAACCACAATATTATCCCTGCCAGATTTTGTGACTATGCCACTATGGGGAATAGAGCAACAAAAAAATCCATTTCGGCCTGTGGTAGGATCAATGGATCAAGCCGGCAGCATGAGCACGGCTAGTTCACATGCACATAAGGCATGTGCTCACATCCAAACTAAACACACACATTCTCATTAGGTATAAAGGGCATAATTGAACAATTATTGGACCAATGTAGGAGTGTACACAATATTTATTTTTTTAATCTGTTTTATTTAGGTTGGCTCCATATGACTTTGATTGTTTTAAAGTTTTCTCCTTTCATAATTTTACTATTCATGGCATTTTTATTTAATTACATAAATTAAATGTATTATTTTAAAGTCTGTGTGAACTGGAAGTTGCTGAGACTTTTATTTTAGTATGAAATGAAATATAAAGAAGGGGGTTGGGCTTTATTTTTGTGCACATTTCCTCATAGCAAACTAGCGGTAAGATGGGCGTGGTTAAGAATATTGTGGCTGAATCCATCATACAGACAAAAAAAAAGACCACCACTCCAAATGTGGAAGCAAAATATCAGATTTTATCAAAGATTACCAAAACAAACGTTTATTTTTGCATTAGATTAACTTGAACAGAGTATCTAAAGTAGAAGTAAAAAAAACACTGTAAGTTTGGATTTCAAATACAAAATAGGGTTGGGTGATGTTCATCATATGATGTCTAATGTAAAACATTCCGATGGACAATGGTGAATTATTTATTGATGAATAATTAATTAATTTATAAACGAATTATTTATTTGTAGCCTACCGTTTTAACTACCTGACCCGCAGGGTCTTTGTTTTACCCATAACTAAATCATAAATAAATAAAAATAAGTTACAAACAAATTACCATCTGTCAATCACTTTTTGTGAAGGACTGTGGCACAAATAGGCAGAATGATCATTTAACAACTATAGTGAGACGTTATCCAGCATTACATTCTTGATAAACTGTCTGACGTGCACTGATCTCTGTGCTGACTGCTGGACCTCAGACACTGCAGTGCATGACAGAGTGTTTGTGTGTGTGTATGTGTGTGTGTTGTCAGTGATGTGTGTTATCAGCGATATAATGTGGACGGAGGGCTTTTAAGAAATGCTAGATAAAACGCCAGTGTGGATGTGGATCATTTTCGTTCTAAAATACCATTTTACAACTAAGACGTATTAGTGTAAAGGGGCCTAAGTGTGTATTTTTCGCGGGCGGGTTGCTGCTGCGACGGGGCGGGCTGGAGAATGTCGGCTCAGCATCATGATGGCTATAGGCCATTGGCGATGGACGATGGTATTGTCTATTGACCCAAAATACAAAATACAATTATATAGAAATCGAATCATTGTATTAAAAACTAAACGCATGCTATTCTCAAAAAAAAAATACATACAATTCATCCAATATCTTACGTTTCTCTTTTTTTTTTCTTTTTGGTAAGGTGCAAAGTTATTAAAATGTGTTTTAAAGGTACTAACAAAAAGCCAATAAGCAAGCTAATAAACACCTTGTTAAAAATACTACAGCTTCACCCAATTTTTTATATAAATTGAATAAAAATATTTTATTTAAATGTTAAAATATATCTCCAAGTACTATTGAATACTATTAAATAGTCTCCAAACTATTGTTTACCATGCAAATGCATTTGTTATAAGTGAAGACTGATGATCGACAGACCAAACAATGCCAGTCAAACAGGATATTGAGACAGCTGAAAGATTTGTGTATTTCCACATTACAATCTGCACTGCGCTGACAGATCAGACAGTCTCTGAACCACATCAAATGCTCTCTAATTTCCCATAATCATTAATCATCAGTGATAGCACCATGTTATGCCTCGCCACAGCATAACTTGACATTCAGCTCGGCCCTTTCAAATTAACCCATGACCCCGGTCTCCATTTGATACTAGAGGAAGGGGGATAATTGCCAAATGGTTTCCCCCTCTCGGGAAACAGAGTAAGTGGGCTTTAGGGATGTGGACACGAAGACAATGATCGGCAGATATGAAAAGCATTCATTCTGGTTTAGTCCCTGCTTGGACAGCAGAATGAAGGCAGCGGTTCAGCAACACTCGCTGCTGTTTGAGCTCTGGAACGCTTTGAACGCTTTGTGAATTCGGTGCTGAGACAATGAGGAGCTTCTAGAGGCCAGTGTCTAATTTGATAGCATCTCCAGATGGACAGTTTGCAGTAGAATAAAGCATTTGATAACAGAGACTGATGTGCATCGCATCCTTCTGCACTGATGTCTGGCCCCGATAGCAACAACACTGTCAATGTGATGAGCAGGCAGGCCATCTAAAGATGGGAGATGATTTCATTTCAATGGATATATAGATCCGAGTGATTTTTTAATTGGACTTCAAAGGTCAGTCTAAATATAGGCATTGGTTCATTATGTTAGCTCATGTAGACTAATTATATTATATTAGTATAGATTAATATAGACTATGCGTGAAACTATAGTAAACGGAAAAACTGCACTGCAAAAAAAATAAAAAATACTTATTAAATTTCAGTGAATCAGTGAAAAAAATAAACTATTAATTATTATTTAATTATCATTAATAATTCATTTGACACTGAATAATGTTTGTCACAATCATTTTTTTATGATATTTTGAACAAAATTGTTGCAATGTTATAAAATGTCTTATCATTTACAGTAAAGGTTTGCAAAGAATTTGACTATCTTGCTTTCTATTTCTGGGTTAGATGTCGCTACAGACTCGTGATAAGTATCAGGAAGGACATGAGGATGAATATAATCACAGTAACAAGGGAGTTTGTTGACAGCAGACAAAAAGTGCAGACACACGCACAAAAGATCCCCCTACACATGCCTATGCGAAGATACAAACACACAAGAGCACACACACACAGAGGAAGTCTCTAAAACACACTCTCCTCTTCTACATCCCCCACCCCGTACCCTCCCACGGCCTGTCATAACCAACATAAACAGAGAAGCAAGAAACTTTAAACTTCTAATGAAAACCCCGACCGCAGTGTTGAGACTGAGGCTGGCATAGATTTGTACAGTTGTGCCTGCAGTTTTCAATTCTGTGCATGTGTTTGTTTATAGACTGGGCTTCTCTGAGTGAAGGGTAAGGGATTCAAATGGTGAGTGAGGTTTTTGTTCATTAATTAGGGTAGAACTCTGCAAATAACCATCAATTAAGCAAACAAAAGAGAAGGTGTAGAAAAATGTTTCTTAAAGACATAAATGGTAGATGTCTTTATTTACTGTAGCGATGAGACAAGTCACCGAAAATTCATTTTGTAGAATTATTATTATTATTATTATTATTATTATTATTATTATTATTATTATGTAATCTACAAAAAAGATTTTTCAATGACTTTGTCTCATTTTTAAATAAAATACAACTGTTTGTATTTAGGAAATACCATCATATATCATATCAGATATTATTATTATTATTATTATTATTATTATTATTGCTGTTGTTATTGGTTGTTTTCATTAGTGGTATTATAATCATTATATATACTCAAAATTCTGTACTTCACAGCCAATAAATAAATGTCACTTTATTATTTTGAGATATAGCCCAGTTGTCCAGAAGTAAAATAATAAAGACACTAATATCAATAACACATCACTAATATAACTCAATAAATCAATCAACAACAAAAAAAATATTAATTAACATGTTTATCCGTAATTAGTAATAAAGTATATCATCTGATTTATACGAAAGATAAGTCATTTATAGACTCACAAATGACTGTTAATTTAAGTATGACACTCAATAAGATTTTCTAGACAACTTTTTCCTTCCTCACCTGGAAATGTCTTGGCGAGAGAGCGATGCGCGTGCTGTGGAGGCTCAGGCACCTGGCGGCGCACCTCGTCCGGAAAATACTGCCAAGAGCTGAAGACGAGTCCTGTCTCCTCATAACCACCAGCCCGCCGTTTAATAACAGAATAATCCCAATGCACAAACCGGTGAGCCCGTCGCGCATCTTGAAGAACAGTAAGTGCTCTGTTTGACCGTCTGCTGAAGAGCGTAAAAGTAAAAGTGGATGAGCAGCAGCAGGCGCTTGATGCAAATAATGAAAGTTCAATGAGCGCGTGTGGGCAGGGCCAGCGCACAGACTCGCTCTGCAATTGGACAGAGAAAACGCCGTGAGACATGCGGGGATCAGGTGCACCGACCGCACACAGCAGCTGTTCGCTGGAGAAGATACTGTAAATGCCCTCAGTGGATTGCTCACTTCATCACTGAATGAAGCCAATATTGAAGTGATGCTGTTAACAAATAATATCATTATTCTATTATATAATAGTCATTTTATTTTATTTATATATTCTTTTTAAATATGAATTGCCCATTAAATAATCCAAATTATAGGTTTACTAAATTAAAGACCTTTGACACTGCCACATATATATATATATATATATATTTATTTATTTATTTTATTTTATTTTATTTTTTTTTGCTTAGGAACAGTTGGCCCAGCAGAGTCTTAGATTCTTTGACTTACTTTCCCACCCAAAGTACTGGGCTAATTTTTACCAGGGCTTTTAACATCTCCGTCAAATGCCATTCAAGACACGCATTTTCCACTCTGTCTCATTTGTGTTGTTGAAATGCAGCTGTGCACGTGTGTGTCCCATAGAAACCCCACAGCATTGTGAGCCAAACCCTCAGCCTATGAGGGGGGAGCAGGAAGCATCCAGGGAACCCCACAACTATTAAAAGGTTTCACTGGTAGCTGAGAACAACAACACTTTTATAAGTGGAGCGTTTAAAACGACCACTAACATGTACCACAAGGTATCTCTAAACATTCTGGCACTAGGCCCTCGCCCAAGGAATGGAGAAAATATGACGTGTTGGAAATACTGAACAAAATGATGTGCTTTTTTTCACTCTGTCATGCGAGCTGCTGTAATGAACTAGGCTTCACAAGGGAGATCCCAGGGTGTTAACGAGACGCCCGTCCTCCTCCCTACTGGCTTTTATGAAGTAGCGAAGCTTCCTGGTGTTGTGGCAGCTGTGCTGTCAGCATTTTGAAGGACTGTTTTTTTTTTTTTTTTTACAGGTGAATCAGTGCCTTCCATCAGCATGTTAAGCTAAACATAAAGTTGGTGGTACAGTAGGTTAATTATCAACAATTGGCTACTGATATCATGCTGAGTCCCAATCAGCTCTCCAGCTTCATATTGTGAATTAGTCCACAAAGCAACCCAGACAGCGTCTGACTTCAAGACAGATCTATTTTCAGTTTGTTTTCAAACAGTCACATCCGTTTTATCCCTTTAATACAGATTCAGACCATACTCACAGATCACAGAGCTGTGCTTGACACAAACAGTCGCAAAGTGGATCCGGGACGTAAATGGCTAGATAGCAAAAATCCTCTTGTCTAGATCTGGGCCAGGTAGTTTGGAAGTTCTGGGCCAGATGATTTTGGTATCTGTGAAACGTACGTCATGAACACATCTACCGTATTTGATGTTTGTGTTTACATCTGGAAGAGATCTGTTACCATGAGCTCACTTGCAAAACATAATTTCCAATTTCAGACATTAAATAGATATTTAGAATATATCTTTAAGTTGTTTGAATTTTTTAAAAAAGACCTTTTTAAAACACTTATCAGATATTTGAGAGCAGCAGATGTTCCAGAACAAGCAATCTTAAAATACATCTTGCAGGCACTTATGTGTGGTTTGCATGAATTTGGTTCATTTGGGTTTGTTCTAGTTTCAGTTTTAGACATCGCATCCATAAACCTCTCTCAGGCTGCTAGCTGGAACACAACATTAAAATTATCATCATTAGTAGAATTCAGTAAATTTTGGGTTACCTACGCTTATTTTATTATTTATAAAGTTGACTGTTGGGTTTTACAGTGTATGGATGGTTCATGCCAAATATTAAAAACAGTTATATGACTTTTACATGCTAAACTGTTATGTCACATTTCCAAGCCCTTAATGCTTTATGTTTACATATTGAATCATAGTCATTGGTCCTTATGTAATGGACATTTAAATGTAGTTCTTAAGTCAAATTAAATCATAATACACACTCTTCAAAATATAGGTACCATGATGAACCAAAAATGCTAAAAAACTTTTCCTAAGCAATTTTAAAAAATTTCACATTCAAATTACAGCATTGTTATTGTCAATGGATCTGTAAAAACAACTAATGTTCCATACATTCCAGGCCAGTAGATGGCAATGTCTTCATAAGCATAAATAGTCTAATCTGCGTTGCCAGATAATAATTATCATATTTGTACGATAATTTCGACCTCTGTACGATCAATTATGAAAAAAGTCCTACAATGTCTGATAATTTCAGAATTTTATGGCATTTAAAAATGTATTTAATTGTGATTTTTTAATAGCTGCATCTTTTGTCTAGTGTCTGTGAGGAAAACGTGGAGTTATGCAAATTTTCTATCTCATCTTACGTTACATCTTCTCAGCCAATCAATGTGGAGAATTGCTCTCTCCGCTAAGCCATGCTATTAGGTCAGCAGTTTTCAGGTTGAGGTTGATCGTCTAAGTAATAAAGTGGAAAAAAAATGTGCTGAAAAGAAAGGTGAGAAGGACTGGGGAGTTTTCCCTTGATGTTCTCGTTTTTCGCCATTCAAATTTCTCAAATGTTTTTAACAAAGTTAATCTCATCAAAACAAAGCCACAAAATCGCTTTATTACAGATACTCTGGATGGGCTCAAGCACACCTCTGAGTGTGTTAAAAATTCAGCAGGGTCCACTGCTTTCAAGGCAACCAGCACTATGTTGTGGTCCATGATGGCATGCGATTTGTACCGCAAAATGAATCCCCCAACATCTGGCAACACGCAGGTATCCAATGACAGTGACTCGGAGGTGGAGTTCGAACCTACCACTAAGGTATGCCTAGTTGTTTTTTTTTTTAAATATTGTGGTAATTTGCACATTGTGTCAAAATGCTATTTGTCTAGATAATATCTTTATACTTTCTGTTTGACTCGTGTATGATAATTTTCTTCAAAATACGATAATTTTGAGATGCTAGTACGATACTTTGGCATTTCCAGTCTGGCAACACTGCCTCCAATGTAGTTTAGACTGTAAAATTAATTTGCATGTGCATGACATTTCACAAAATCATGTTTTTATAGTTTATGTGGAAAAGAAAGTAGACGTAAAATGTTTGCTTAGCATTATTTTCAGGTTCACAAAATTATATTATCATATTAATATATAGTTGAAGTCAGAAAATCGGTTATTAGAAATAAGTTATTAAAACTATTATGTTAAGAAATGTGTTTAAAATATCTTCTCTCCATTAAACAGAAATTGGGGAAAAAAATAACAGAGGGGCTAATAATATAGTGTGTGTGTGTGTGGGGGGGTAATAATTCGGGGGTGGGGGTGGGGGGGGGGGGGGCTAATAATTATGACTTCAACTGTTCATGTACATTTAAGCCTATAGCAAAATAAATAAGTAAATAAAACGAGTTGAAAGTGGTGAATACTGAATTGGCTCATGCAATTGTTTTTTTTTTTTTTTTTTTTCTTTTCAGAGCTTCTGTTAAAGGACAATTATGGGCATTTTATGGGCATTAATACTCTCTGGTTGCTGTGGGATTTGAATATGAAGAGAACATTCCTGTTCACTGGAAAAATGTTGCTATTGAGATGACTTGGTGACGGCTGGATGAACATTGCAGGGTCTTCACAGAAAGAGTGGGTTATATATACTACATTTCCCTACTTTTAATTATTGTTTTCCACATACAGTATTGAATTTTTTATTTGCCCACTATATAGTAAGGACTTATGCCTATTACAGCCCATGACACATTTCTATGCTATATTCTCTCAGTGTAAGAAATGTTTTATTTGGCCATGTTGGTGATCCTGGTGGTCAAACCACACATTATAGCATTTTAGGAGGTGAAGTGTCACTCACTTCTCCTAAAAAATGCCTTTACGCATCAAGTCCACATTACTCACACATAAAAATGGTAGTCTGTGACGTGTTTGTGGTTTTCTTACAGCTGTGAGTTTCAGTGTCTGCATGTATACAAGTGTGTGCAGCATTGGTGGTTGGTGTGTGTAAAACAATGATGGTGTGGGGTCCTCATCCCCCCCCCCCCCACCCCCCCCATTGAATGGTATTTCCCATACTTCTTTTCTGCTTCCAGGGAAATGCCTTGGCTGTTGGGGAGCCCAGCTCGTAAATATGTAGTTCAGGGAGATCCTCATTTATTTGGGCTTAGTAGGGGAGAATGAGGTAGGTTGATTCTGTCATTTCCCTCTTTTTCTCAACATTAGGAAACAACCTGCTAATACGCCTAAATGCATTTAACTGTGTTATTTTGGGGAAATGAATGAACACATGTGGATGGTCAGACTACTAATGAGTCACATTTACCAAAGGGAAACAATCTGTTTGAAATTAGCAAATACTGATTGTCCAGAGTTCATTTAAATTAACAGTGTTTTCATGCATATGAATAAAAGTACAGTTCATAAACTGATAAGGTAGATGATAGTCAACATAAAAAAGGGACCCCAATGATTAATCCAAAGTCAGAATAGATTCAAGTAGGTAGGAAGAAATTTTATCATACCTACTCTGATTTATTATAATTTTTTTTTTTTTTTTAATTCTGATCAAGTATAAATGGAATCTTGGCCGTGGCACAAAGAAACTCATTTGTGTTCAATTTTGAGGCCTGTCAGCTCAGAATGGGTTATTAGGCCTGACGGAGGATCCCGCTGGCTGTATTTTTAAGAACTCTGCTGACATCTGGTGGGCATTAATGCAATTACAGAACCTTCTTGGAAACCAGTTACTGTTGTCAAAGAAAAAAAACTGTCTCTAACGAAAGCAGTCACTAATGGATGCCATATTAACTGTAATGTATAAGGCTTTCTTTATTCATATCATGTCTGTGCTGTCAGATCATTGACACAAAGAAGTCTGGATTTCATTTAGAATGAAAGCACACATTAAAGCGTTTAAAATCATTGCAAC